CTATTATCGTTGATATCCTCAACTTCAGCAGGATGTAACTCACATTTTACATATAAAGCCACTCCCCCCCCGTGTTTAATACTCTATCCCAATTAAATAGCCTGTAACCCTGTATTTCAATAAAATTTCTGTCATCAAAATCACCTACGTTTAACCATGTTTCAATTATTCCCATTATATCAAAATCCACCATTCCTACCAGTGCTCTGAAGTCATTTATTTTACTTCTTATGCTTTTAGCATTACAATTAAGCCTTATAACTTATAACTACCTCTATACTCATTTCCTATGCCAAACTTTTTTCTGCATCTTATTCTTTTTCCATTTAGTTTTCCTGGCCCTCACCACTGTCTAGTCTTAGTTTAAAACATCTATTCGATGTCAGTGTTCTTATTTGATTGAGCTGTTAATTACCATAAAATCCTTTTGTAGGATCTTCACTCAAGGATTAAATTAATGGTTTTGTCTGTTTCCCATAAGCTTTATGAGGTGATGGAATGAAAAGGTTAGAAACCCATTATGAACTTGAATATTACAGGAAATGGGTTTAAGTTTTGGAAACCTATATGCATACTCCTTCATCAGTAGATTATTTTTGTATTATTGTGGAGTAGTTTTCATATTGATATATGCAGTTAATTTAGACTTTTAAAATTTTGTTTCATAGGTATGTGGGTGTGAAAGATTGCATTGAAGCTAGATTGAGAAAAAAAAAAATGTTCTGGTGTTAATCCCTATATTCTAGAAGGCGAATATTTTTCTTCAATCATAATTATTTTTTAGACATAACTAGGTGAAATCAAGTTGTACTTGTAAGTTCAACTAATTAATTTCATCAATTTCTAACCATAACAATCATAAGCAAACGCACTTACTGTAGTGTTTCAGCTAAATAAAAATATTTAGGAATTTATTTTCCCTAGTTAATTTTACTAAAATTTGAAAGCAAATATGAAGAATAATTTTATAGTCAAACTGGGGAATTATGAAATGTATGAATATACATATTGCACATAAAAGAGAAAAACAGTATTACATTACGAAATACAGTTAATAATCTGATAAATAATTTCATTAAAGTACTATTGTATATTGGAAAATGAATAATTACCTGAATTATACACAGTTTTCAGTACAACAAAACAAATAATGGCTTTTATCATCTTTAATTTAAGGTAATTTTCCGATATGGTCTTACTTCCTGTAACAAAAAGCTATCTCGATCTTTATCTGCCCTCTAAGCATTGCTAAAAATTTTTTTTGCAAACAGTGCACCAATCTATATACTCCATCAATCTTGTACCATTTCTGAACATGTACATATCATGTAACTACTCTCTACCAATAGTATTGCATCACTCATGTTGTTGCAGCTATCTTCCTCTGCTATTTCTGTTCAGTCCCCTCACTTTCTTGATTGGCACAGCATTGTTTAAACATGTGTTTTACACATGTGGCTACTGTTTATGAATGTGTATTTTTGCCATTTCAATTTTATCTAACACTTTTATTCTACTGTGTTTGCATTCACTTTTTTCAATATTTTTTTATTTTTGCAATTATTCCTTGTTATCGAATCATAACATTTCTTAGTATGAATTTGTGATCAAAGTATTGATTATGGAAATTCCTCTTACAGTCAAAAAAGCTACTGGTAAAGACTTCCAAGGAATTGGGTTTTACTTTATCTGCAGATAAGGTACAGGCCTTAATTGCAAGGAGCTAGATTCTTATGTATGGCTGGCGATTTCTTCTTTCTTTCAATGACACAGTGTTGCTGAGGAAGAATACAACCAATGAGAATACAATTTGGACTCTCTTATTCTGCCACCTTCTTTTATTTTGGTCTGTCACACACTACACCTTTTCAACAGTTTTTCACTTTCCACCAGTTGCTGTGCCAGCAAATCATTCACTTTGGTGAAGAATTGCTCTTCGGTTCTCTCAGGGGATCTTTGGTAAGTTTTTCAACATGTATACTTCACACCTGGTTAATATACCCATGGTAGGTGTTGCTCAGATACCCTTTGTGTGGCTTTGCACTTGTATACACATCGAAGAGTTCAGTATTTCACATCATCAGTGCTCAGACTTTGGTAAGTTAGATATTTGTGTGTTCTTTGTCATCTAAGTTACTTTAGATTTAGATATTAATTATTACTTTGTTGTTCTTTTTAGACTTTGCAAATTTTGGGTGTTTGTTAGTTTGTTATCAATAAGTACTTTGACTATGTATGTTTAAATTGTTTGTAAGTTAGATATCATTACTACTAGCAACAGCTAATTCATTGTTCTATTTGAGTAATTGTTTTTCATCATTGTAACTATGCACCTTATATCCTAATTTTCGTCAGTGTAGGACTTAAGTTTTTTTACTTTGTTACATTGCTGATATGTTAATTTCTTTTCTGTTCATAGGGCTGAGCTTTGCTTTGGCTCCTTTTCCTATGTTCATGACACTAGAAACCTCATTTTCTCCTTATAATCTACAATTTGGGTTCTTCTCCACAGTGCCTGTTCGAATTTTCCAGTTCAGGGCCTTACCTTTCAGACTAACCTTGGAATTTTCAATGTTTTGTCAGGGGAGGGTACAAACTCTTGCCCAACATCTTCACTTAATGAGTCTTTGCACTTTTCTTTCTATGAATGACTGGCTCCTGCATGTTTCTTTCTAATCAGGGTCTAGAGACCACACTCCTCTGCTCGTACAGAAAGCAGCATGGGTGTGATTCCTGTGACAGTGGGGAAGTTTGTTCTTACCCCCTGTCAGTAACTCTTTCATTTGGGGGCTTCTTCTTTCCAACCTCAGTCAGGCCTAGCCTTCTCATCTTTGTCTTTTAGAGCTAGCAGTTCACTTGTCCCTTACCTCACATTTTTTAGAGCTTTAGATGTTCTATCTTATTAGGGATCTGGGCTTCCTTGGATGCTCTTTTACTCATGGGTTGGGCTCATATGCATTCCTTTCAGTGGACACTCCTATATCAATAGAACTTCTCCTTGGTCCCTGACTTGGTGGTAAGACAGAGACCAGACCATGGTGGATGTGCTGCTTACTCCACTTTATCCAGACTTTCATCTGTTCATGGACTCATCTTTAGAGGTTTTGTGTTCTTACCTCAACTCCTGGGTGATTTCCGGTCTTAGATTGATCATGGAGCCTTCTCTTCATATCACCATTCTTGTGCCTTTGGCAGTTTATCGAGCTTTGTCCTATTTCCTTCATCTCCTATGGGGGTGGGTGGGTGTTGTTATAGTATATTATGACTTCTCCACAGTGGTCACTTGTATCACAGAGCCAGGAGGTACCAATTCCAGGTCTCTGTGTTTTCAGATCCTGGATCTCCTTTCTGGGCCCACTGTCACCACATTGTGGTCTTAGCTTGTCATTTTCCTGCTTTCTGAACCTGGTGGTGGATTGATTTGTTTTCTCCCAACAAGATTATCCTCATGGAGTGGTCCCTCAATCCCCAAATCTTTATGTGGTTGTATTCTCAGCTGGGTACACTTTTTATATGCCCTTGCCACCCACTTGAACACCAAACTTCCTTCCCTTTGGTTCCCATTCCTTACTTACTCACTCTAGGGGTGGTCACATTCTGTCAAGATTGAAGGGATCTTCACATCTATGCTTACCCTTCTACTTCACTCCTCTCCAGAGTTTTATCATAATTCCAAACCACTCTGTGTCTCATCCTATTGGTGGATCCTTTGGCTAGCACAACTATTGCTCCCACTACTTTGACCTTTACTTGTATGACTTCCTCCACCCTTACCTCTGTCTCAGTTCCTATTTTGTTGACCTCGGATGGACATTGTTCATCCAGATGTCATGACACTCTTCACACATAGCTTTTGTCAGGATCATTGTCTCAGCCAAGAGAATGTCTCCATATGTTGTCTTTCCTGTCCAGATCCATTAGACCTTCTTCCATGTCCATTTACCACAGGCAGTGGTATACTTTCCACCTTTGGTCTCTTTAACATGGTTTCCTTCCTTCCCTCCCATCAGTTCATCATCTTTCCCAATTCTTCACCTGATTGTTTGACAAAGGCTTATTAAATTTGTCCATGTCTAGCTATCAGGCAACCTTGTGAATCACCTACCATTTCTCCAGGTTGCACTTGATTTTGTCTTCAACTTTTATTTCCCTTCTTTTTGCTTCTCCTTTCGAGTCATGCATCCTCCACATTCCTCTGATTTGCCTCAGTGGGATCTCAGTGTGGTCCTTTATACATTTCCTGTCCTTCCTGTGAACCTTTGTATTCATATTCCATCTGCCATCTCTCCCTCAAAACCTATTTCCTTCTTCTCCTTGCTTGAGGACATTGTTGATCACATATTTATGCCTTTATTGTTACCAGCTTCATGTACCATTTGTTTTTTTGGCATCCTATACTCTGACCAGTCCTTTTCCCCTCAGACCTATGCTGCCCATGAAGGCTGTTTGGCTTTCACATTCATTTTCTTACCTTCTATCTCTCACCGGTATTCCCATTAAAATCCTGATCGGCTTCTTGTTTGGATCACTCCTTATGGTATTATGTGGCATGTCCTGCCTCCTTTTAAGGTTCAAGTTCCCAAATTTTATTCTCTGGAACACTTCCATTTCTTGTAATCTATCCCCCTGTCATGTTAACTGGTTAGGTTTGTCAACTTGTTAGGCTGGTGTATTCAGACCTTTTCCTTTTCCTACAGGTTTCTTCTCATCATATTCATCATATCACCATATCTTTGGCTTTACATCTTTGCAGTCTATTGAAGGAGATAATGGGATCCCATTCTGTGGTGGGTGTTGCCTGGTTGGGTATACTTTGCCTCAAACCAGCACTACTATTTAATAATTGCACTATAACACTCACTGTAGAGATGGGGTGTTTCCAGAAGACCACTGGTGGCATACCAAGTGGCATATATAGATATATATATCCTAGATATCAATAACTTTCACTGAATGGTAGATCATCACTCATGGACTTCATGAGTAAAGCATAAGTGGATTCCTGACCATCCCTGATGTCTCTTTGATTGAATAAATTTGGTTTGGTCTGCATTTTGAAATAGGGAATTGTAGACACCCATTGCACTTTCTCCAGTGTGATGTACCTCCACACTCCATGATGCATTTGCTTCCTCTTTGTACTTACATGTCCTCTGTGTAATTCCAGATGCAGGATGTCTCTTTGTTGCATTTATGGTTGAGTGAGTTATGATTTTTGCTCATAATACTGGTTGTGGAGGTTACTCTGTTCTTACGGTTGAGTTGAAGCAGTGCCAGGTTCAGTTTGTTGTACTTCTTGCTCCTGCTATTGTTTTGAGAGTTTGTCCATTTTGGCTGAAAGTTCATTTCCTCTTCATAATTCCGGTTGTCTGACGTATGACACTTTATTTACTTGTGGTTGAGGTTGATGAGTATATATAACATTGTCCATATGCCTTAGCCACTATGTTGATGTTACAATACATTTTTGTTCATCGTCAATTTCCTAATGCTGAGGACAAGTTATGGAACCTCGTCTATCCGGTTGTGGTTCTGAATGTCATAGCTAATTCTGTTTATATTTTACTTTGATTGCACCTCTCAGAAACAATTAAGCTTGTGCACATCCTTTTTTTTTCTGCCCATTTCAGATTAATTCCCTACTTGCAGGATGAAGAGTATACCTGTTCCTCAAAAGTGTGCTTCATTTGCATCTCGGAGCATACCTATTCATTCTGGTGATTGCTTTCACTTTGTGCCTACACTGGCCCCTCTACCTTTGCAATGTTGTATTCTAGGTTTTTGGGGTAAGACAGTATTTGAAGTTAACATTTTTATTATACTTAAAATGTATTTCTGATAGGTACTTACCTCCTTTTACTTCTTCCCACCCTTCTTCCCCACTACTGGTGTTCTTCTTTTGGAGCCTACCAATTCTTGAAAGTAAGGATTGAGTGGCAGAGGGAACTAGTTGTGCCAACATAGGTGATGTAATACTGTTAGTGGAGAGTAGTCACAAGATATGCACATGTTCAGAAATTCATGGATATATAGACTGATGAGCTGATTGTGAAAAGTTTTTTTTAGCAGTGCTCAGAGGGCAGATGAAGATCAAGATAGCTTTGTGTGAGGGAGGTATGTACTTATCAGAAATACATTGTCAGTGTAAAAGAAAATTAATATTCAATGTTTTGCTCTTTGATGTTAGGAAATTTTGAATGAAAAGGTATTATTCTGTGTATAAAGAAAGAAAAAAAAACAACACAAAAACAACTTGTACATTAATGTTTTCAGATAATGTTTTTCTGGGTGTACATAATATCATGAGGCTTTTTTGTTTGTTAAAAGTATTTTTTTTCTGCAAGTTTCAGTCATGGAAATCTTTTTGTTTTAGGTCTTACTGCTTTACCAGTCCCACTGAATCAACCAGCAAATTCAATACTTTCGCCATTTGCAAAAGAATTTGTCCCACAAAACACCATTCAACAGTCTTGTATATTGCACCCAGACTATCAGGTAGTTTTGTTGTCACTCATTTTATTAATAAATTGTTAGTAATATATGTATAGTAGGGCATGTGATGTCCAAATAAAGAGCTTAAGTCACCAACTATAGACTTGGGTTAGAAATTATTAGTAGTGGTTTTGTTAAAATTGATTAATGTAAGAAATTGTTAGTAATATTTCTGCAACTATAATCACTAAAGAATACACTTTTGAATTGGATTTTTTCTTTGTACTGTCTTTTGAGTAAACTTTACTTTTATACTAAAATAATTACCAGTCCATTGTAAAATTGTATGTAGTACATACTGTATGTAGTTTGCTTCATTCAAAAGTTTTTATATAGTAGTGATACATTTACATATGTCTGCTTGCAGAATTGGTAGAAATCATCCTAGTGTTTAATAGTGTTATTTGTAATCACACATTCACTATTTCAGTGTGTTTGGTAGTGTTTTTATACCTATTCATCAGTGACTTGTAACTAAAACTGTAAATTTGTTCTTCTCGATTAATTGAGTTTCATAATCACCATTTGAAATATGACCTATAACACTACATGTACAATGTAACTCATGCAAACATGATACTTTTTTGGGTGTAGTTATTGAAACCATCAATGTTGAATATTACCTGAACCATGGTTATTGTTAAAAATGTTCTAAAAATGGTTTTATGTGATGTGAATTTCTGACAAACGTACTAAATGAAGCTTCAGTTTTTAGTCTTATAGAATGTTTTACAAAAGTAGTATATTTTGATTTATGATTTCATTTTATTATTTTTTGTAATTTCTTAATTATTGATAGGCAAGAAAAGAAATTTCAGAAATGCTATTCACCTCTCTGCAGAACTAAGAACTATTATATCTCACCACTGCCAGAAAGATTTTTGCTTCTGTGTCAAGTCTTGAAAAGAGCATTCACCAAACATGTTTTAATGTGTATTGCACCAGTCTATGATGCAATCAGAATTATACCATACTAGCCTTCAAGCAGTAGGAGCATGACACATCCATATGCAATAGTCCCTTTGAGCACATTGTGTATTACCAAAAGCTCATTCTTTTTCTCACAAATGTTCTTTCCTTTTTCTTCAGTATTATTAGATTTTTTTGCATTTTGCTTATTACTTTAAGTTAAAGAATCTAATTGACTTATTATCTCTTTATTATGCTAAAGTACAAGATAAATTTCATATTTAAAAACAAAGATAAATGATTTCATCGATTATCTAGATTATGCATTTATGTATCCATGTTTCTGACACCTCCCTCGGTCCTGACATTCTTCAACAAGAGTCTCTACTGCAGTGGTGACTGAAAGCATTTTCAATGTCAGTGATGCTTTGGCTGAGCTTGCCTCATCTTTTGACAATTTTGACCAGCTGTTCCCACCACTTGTTGCTTCCGGATCCTCTCTTACTGACAAGAATCAGGTAATCCCATCTTTGTTCTTTGCTGCTTTGATCTCACAGGCATGTGACTTTTTTTCTCTTTCTCCATTTTTTGTTTTTGCTAATTCTTGGGCTACCTTGTTGCATGAGCCTCCTTTATCTAACTATCTGCTTTTCTCCCTTTTTCTGATATTTATGTTCATGTCAAAATTTTTTTCTTGTCTCACCTTCATACCAACTCCCATGACCTCTCAGACCCCAATATACTTATTCCATGGTGTATGGTTGAGGTTATTCTTCTTTGCTTAAGCCTCAGTTCCTTGAGTCTCTTTTTTTTTCTCACTTGCTTAGCTTCTTTTCTATCTGTCCACATTTCACAATCAGTCAGAAATTACATTGTGACCTCACCATCTTCATTGAATCTTTGGCCACCTGTTCCCTAAACCATCTTTCTCTTAACACATTTTCTTTTCCTTGATTGTGGGAGATATTGTCCTGACATTTTTGCTTTGGATGCCTCTCACACTGATTACCACAGTGATAGGTTGATATGATTCCCAGACTACTCCGTTTCCAAGACTTTGGATGCCTGGGAGGGTGATTAGATATTTTCTCCAATCACTATCTGTATCTCTTACTTTTTGTCTCCTTTATCTTGTATGGGCTGTTCATTGTTATTTTACATGTATTGCTCTTTTTCAAATCAATCAACATTGTCTTTTCTCACTATGGGATTCCTGCTTCTCTCCTGACTTATCTCCTTCCACTTTCACTGATCGGGTTAAAAAACTCATTTGGTTAGTTTATTCATCTATGGGTGATAACACCTTTTGTCTTTTTTTTTTTTTCATGTCACTTCCCATCAAGTTTGTTATCTTGTGTCTTTCTTTGCCTTTAGCTGTCAACTTCCTCTGAATGAGACCTTGTCACACTACCTAAATCAAATTGCAGTTCCATCTGCCTTTGATTTTTGTCTCCCTCCATTTGCCATTCTCCTGTAATCACAGTGGCAGTAAAGAGGTAAGTTGATTTTTTCTTCTTTTTTCATATCCCAAAATCACTTTATTGTTTTTATATATCTGTATACTGGAGACGATGGAATCTACCAAGTGTCTGGTATTGCCTAACATGGAATATCTCTCTCATGAAATCTACAGTAGGGGATAACAGCATTAAGCCCATCTGCTCCTGATCAGTTCCACTTGTTGAAATGTGATTTTCTGCAATATTGCTTTGGCAAAATATTTATTTTACCTTTCAAGTTGTACTTTAGGGATAACAAAACAAAAGACCAGTACTGGGTTTGGTTCTGCTCTTACACCTGGCTAGTACATGCTATCCCTTTTCTCTGTAACTAGTTGTACAGTCTATCAGTGTGGGACCTTATGCAGATGAAATTCCTGTTTGGTCTACTTGCCTCTCCGGTGTTCTCCCCCTCTGTGACTTCTTTCTTCCCATTTCTTTTAGTAGAATGGAAAAACCCTTGCTTCCCCTGTCCCAAACTTCTAGGGAGGTCAGTATGGAGAGTTCCCCTTCAGAATGGTGTAATCTCACTGGTATGAAATCAAGTGGATGCATCTCTTGATTGGAAGTATGGCTGTTGTGTTTACCTGATACAATAGTACAAACCACCTCTACACTAAGAACCAGGTAGATAGTGGTTAGGCCAGCTGGTTGAGTCTTCAATTCTCTTCAGGATGCAGGTCTGGGAGGATTCCTCCCTATACCTGATTATTTTGTTATTTCACTTAAGTATTTGTCATATTCTATGTGGCTAGACTTATTGCCATAGTCACACTACATGTACATGTTCTGCTGACCCTACCTGAAATGTACAATTAAGTTGAGCAGTCTTTACATTCAATCCACCTATACAACTCTTTAACACTATGCAGGCGATCCTTTTGACAGTACTCTTAACTCTGTTACCTCTGTTAGGCAAAGAGTATTCCCTGAATGAGATGGATGCAGTTTTTCACCAAGTGATGCCCTACTAGGCCCCCACCTCAGTGGGTGACACACTCCACGAGTTATTCCTTTCTGTCACTATATATCACTGGAAAGGAGTTCATCTTTTTAAATTATGTACAATGGTTTCTTCCACCATCTTTTGAAAATGAGATTTCAGCTCTCAATTCTGTGGAGAGGTGAGAAACATTTCTGAACCTAACATTTACCCTATTTGAAAATGTATTTCAGATAGATTCTTACCACTCCACGGAACAATCCACCCTTCCTCCCTACTTCTGGTATTTTCTTTAACTTTGTCAAGAAAAATATTTCATAATACACATTGTGTGCTCAAGGGAAGTACTGTGCATTAAGTATGTGTTGTCCTCTTATTGGTGAAGGACTACAGACTAGTGCAGTATATGTTAATACTTGTAAGTATGTGAGTTTCATTGAAGTATTAGTGTACATAGAAAATTTTTTTCAACAATGTGGTGCAATGTAATAGCTCTCAGTTCTATGAAGAGGTGAAAATATCTGTATGAAATACAATTTTGATTAAGAAAATTACTAACATTACCGGATTAGTTAAAAAGAAACTTCACTGTTGTTATTGTCTTAATTTGATATTTGTGTTTGTAGGAAAGAATGGGTGACTTTAATGACCCGAGTGTCCAGGGAAGTGTTGAAAGTTTTCCTGTTTCAGAATTTGAACAAAGTGACCAAGATAATATTGACAGTTATACAATTTCAGAACTGAAGGATTTTATCTTCAAAATCACTTTAGATCCTGGGGAGTATGATCCCTTGGTCGAGTCTTTGGTTAATATGCTTAGATCATCAGTTGCAGATGAAGAGACAATGTGTACTATTGCAGACACAATATTTGATCAAGTATGTCCCATATTTTAGTATGAAATCCGATTATTGAATCCATTTCCTATTTAAGCATGTATGTGATTGTATATTTAAAAACTAAAGTACCTCAATTAAGTTAAATTTTGTTGAATTTTAAAATTATTATAAATTATTAGTATTCAAAATTTGTTGTACTTTCCTACTTTAGCCTTATATATATATATAAGTATAATAAATAAAAAAATAATTTTATTAAGACATTTAGGGATTGATATATATGTAACCTAGCTAGCTATGGTAATATAGAAAGTTTTAATGTTACAAAAGTATTGAAACAAGCAAATCAAAACTACAACACTGAATTACTTAAAATTTAAAAACTTTTAACCCAACTTTGGCAAATCACCATAATTATGCTAGTATGAGTCAAAGTAGGGATTCAATTTTTGTAAATTTGACTTTCTTGTTTCAATACTTTTGTAACATTAAAACTTTCTATATTACTATAGCTATTTATTTGTTTGTTTTAATTTTACTAGCTATATTTTTGTGCACCAGCAATACCAAACATGGGGTGCGTGTATATCCAATTCAATTTTATTTCATCAGAATCTCTATCTACCTACCCTCAAACCTAATTATATGCCCAAAGTAGTGCATCACCTATATAGACAATTTTTATGGCTGCCATTTTGTTTCATTATGATCCCTGTTATTAAGTACTACTGTACTTAATGATATGTATGTATGTATGGATTATTTAGAATCTTATTTTCATTGTCTGACCAATGATTTTATATGAAAAACAATGAATACCATAAAGGGTGGGAATAGTTGTTCATATCCTCACAAAATGTATGAAATCCCAGAACCACTGGATGTAATCTCATTTTTTGATAATTTCTATTATGCATAATGTTTTTTCATAAAATAAATCCCAGTTTTTTACGGTTATGAAATGCATAGAAACAAAAAATATTGGTATCTTGGAAAACAAATACAGAAAATGATTGCAATGGAATCCCATTCTGATAAGAAATTTGGCTGACAAGTGACTCCCAAAGTTTTAATGGCATACTGTGTCTAAAACTAAGGATGAAAAGGTGTTCAAATACCTTAGTCATGATAGGCATTCTAAGGTTGGGTGTTTAATTTAAACTCAAGAAACACATTTTTACAGCTTTCTGTTCATAAAATATGTATTTTTAACCCAATATATTTTACAGTTGATAATTTGTCATTTTGTAACATTTATTTAGTGTAATTTTTAAGAAAAATGAAAACAACTTTTTTAATTAAATTTCTACACAGTTCTGAGTTGTCTTGCATGGGAATAATACTTTTATTGATTTCTTTTTAAAAACTATTTTTGTCCAATCTGATGCATAGGTTTCCTAGGGAATGATTCACAAAGTCTCGTTTCTTTTGTAATTTTACTTTTTTCTAATAAGTTATTTTTACAGGCATTATATGTTGTGAGGTCATAAAAGGGTGGGAACAGCTACTAATGAAGAATAGACCTGCAAAAAGCTATAGGCAAAGTTTGTAACTTTATTTAATAAAACTACACGTAAAGTCAACAGTAAAGTAAAGTAATGGTATCTATAATGATGTAACATGTACAGAATATTAAACAGTTATGAGCATTCAGTGTATGGCAAGGTTTTTTGAGTTGAAACAAAGAAACTCACAAAACCAAAGAATTAAACCTATAGTAAATAAAAAAAAACTAGCTTAAAGGTGTTTACAGCAGTCTATGAAATGAACCGAAGCTAAGTTATTGTAATGTAAATGTAAAGCTGTAATGAAAGCAAATTTAGCTAAATATACAGAAATGTTTGAATGCATGTTCACAAGGTGATAAGCATATGGTTTTGAACAAACTGTGCATGTGTATTTTAGACCTAAATAAGTTGAACAAGCCCATAGAAATTGTATTTAGTCTAATGTTATGTGCTTATAGTTTGGTTGAGAAATTTGTGAGAAAAGTTCTGGACAGACAATACAAGTGTATAGTTTATATACAGATGGTGGATTCAGCCTGAAAAGACAAAAAATTTAGGAACTGAAAAAATTCTCATTGCATTGTAAGTTTAGTGTGTCTAGTTAAATGGTGTTTGGGAGGGGCTGGTTGTACATGTTTATCTACAAAGTTACCAATTTAAGGTCATTTGGATCAGTAGTTGTTGGAAAATGTGAAATTTATATATATCTATTTATTATATTTCAATGAGGTAGCTCATTTTAATAAATGTAAATTGCAGAAATATAGTCTCAATAAGTCATAACAAATTATTGTGTATTTTGTGAAGTGCAGCATTTGTAGAAATATTAATTATATTATATAATATATTATATTAATAATAGACCGTCTTCTCTCGGAAACCATCTGATATTCAAAATAGTTTTGTAATTTGCAGGAATTGCAGTATTTAAGCTATTAAAATCTGTGTTTGTGTGAAAGTTTTTCTCTTTTGGTAGTAATATAAGAGAAAAAAAGAGCATAAAATTTGTGCCAAATAATTATAGACTCAAGTTGATAAATAGTGTGGAGTCAGAATTTTTTAAGTTTAACTATTCTAAGGCTTATAATTTTCTCATATATGTATTCTAGAAAGTAAGAGATTTAAAATTACAACTAGAGAAGTACTGTATATATGCAAGAAGCTTAAACACAGACAAATTGTTGTCCATTTTCAAATAATATTTATTATGAAAATGGTTTTAGTCTTCCTTGTTCCCTCCATCTGTGAAGAAATATATATATTTAGGATTGAATAATTAAACGTGTACTCCACATCATAAACTTTTAAGACCTTTAAATAATTACCGAAAAAAAAATTGTTCAATCAAGTGGATTATGGTTAAAGAACTTTCAGAAATAAGGTATACTAGACCCCTAAACTTTAGTCATTTCCAAATTTCACATATTTTTATCTTTTGTAAATATCGGGTAGCCTTAAGGAGATAATGGTTTTTGTATTTGTTAATGATTATAAAGTTTTTTGTGTCATGAAAATAGTATACAGCATATTTATGATGTTGATCAAGATTCTGTGATTTGTAATTGATTACTATTTAATAGTTTTGCACTTATTTACTTGTATAGCATTTGCATAAAAGGTATTTTCAGTTTCCTGTATTTTTATCACTTTTAGGCAATTTCAGAACCCAACTTTACATACAGTGCTGCAAGACTATGTAATCACCTGTCTCAGAACCTAGAAGTTACTTTTGGAAACTTCAGAGATCTCATTCTACAGAGGTATGAATGGCAAAGAAATCAAGTATTCTATTAAAAAGACAAATTATGGAATATACATATTTCATCTTCAGCAAGCTATATTACACAAAGTAAATTTTTACAATGTACAAATAGATTGAAGTTTATAAAATTCCAGTATTTAAAACAGAAAAACACAGGAATTAAAATAAAAAGTAAATGAATGAAGTAAATTAAAAATTTTAGGATAGATATAAGAGTACCTACACCTCTGCTGAAATTTTGATTCTCTAGAACAAAAATTTTTAAGAAATATTTATTTTAAATATGGTTTTTTTTTATATTCATCCTATGCTTACTTTGAAAATTTACTCCTTAAAATGCTTTTAGAATAAATAATGTTTCTGATATTTGGATACTGATGCATTCTCATAACCCTGGTGAGAATTATATAAACTCTTCAAAATGATTTATATTCCTCCACATTTTTTATTTTTTCCTCTGAAGACAATTTTCTTCAGGTTTTTTTTTTGTGTGTGGATTACTTCTGAATTATTAGTAAAAATGTTTTGATTTTGTAATCTCAAGCAAAGTGTGAATAAAAAAAAATATTTTAGAACTGTTGGATAATTACTCATATTTTTGTGATTTGCACACATTGTTTTTTTAATTCTTTTAACACTTGGATAAACATAGTTTAAATTTTACATAAGATCTGTTTTTTTATTTATTTAATCGATAAGTTACAGCCAAGAAGGATAAGTGACTATATATGAAAAACTATTTACACATGTTAAAACTAAACATGACATGGAATAATTATTAAGTACATAATTACACATTTTCTTTTACATTAGTCTGTAATATCAGTTACAAATATGTTTTTATTCTTTTAATATAAATAATTTATATCAGTATTTTCAGAATTATTTCCAAAAGTCAATCCTAAAACTACAGTAATAAACAAATGAGGCATATCACTAATTGCAGCACTTATAGCAAAATGCACAAAGTCATTCACAAAAACACCTGAAAAGCAGACAGTGGTGAATAAAATGACTTGTAGTTGCAAATTCACTTAGTATTTACATTGAAGTTGCTACTCTTATGCATTTTATTGCAAATGCTTTATTTTATTGACCATATAAAAGTGAAATTTATGGCACACTGATAGTTTATTTGTGATGCACCTTTTTCAAAACATTGACCAAGATTATGTGGTTTTATGTAATGTTAATAGTATATATGAACATTTGAGTTTTGTTTAATTTGCTATAAACAAAATGTTGTGCATCATATGATGGTTTTGTGAAGTTATTTATGTGCACATGTACTAATACTAAATTTACATAATTAAGAATAACGTGCATGTGTGCATGCATGGAACAATTTTAAGCTTTATTAAACTATGTGAGCATTAATTAAGGAGTAGGGAAGTAAGGATGACATCACCACACGTGGAAAGCTTTTTAAGCTTCAATAAACTATGCAGAAATGAAATTATTGGTAGGGAAGTACACGTTACATTATCATATGTGTAAAGGAGTGGTAGATGTAGATAGTACTATACATTGCAAAGAAAAAGAGCCTTTACAATTTATAGACTTTGTACATTCAAATACAAAATACCAGAAATGAAAAATGTTTAGTGTGTGAAGCACAAGTTTTCACCCTAGTCTTTCATCAAAGAAACTCCTAGGTGAACTAAGCCTGCAAAAATAATTATGGAAGAACAATATTGAAATCGGGTACCATTTAATATTCATGATTATGCTTTTGTAAGTGTACAATAGAAAGTAATGTGTGTATATATATTTAGAAGTCATGGTTGTAAATTTATGTATCTAATTTAAAACTATAGATAGAACTGCATTAAAATATTTTTCTATGTATGCTTGTACATAGTGAGGTAAAATATGAAGCTATCAGTTTCACACACAAATTTCACAAGAAACACCACAAGTGGACATAAGTGAAATGTTGAAATAATTTTTCAGGTTTATATTATTTCATCATGTTTAATATCTAATAAAAAATTTACATGCATTTTGCATTATTCCCATGTGTTTCATATTAGAGATTTAATTGCATTCAAAGCACACAATTTGATAGCAGTAAAAAATGTATTATATACATATATATATGTATTGTGTTTTCCTCTGTACACTACTTTTTCTTTCATGATTATCAAGCCAACCAAGTAATCGTTCCTAACTGATATCCTTACTTTTTTGCTGATCATTACGTCCTCTCTGTCTTTATGTGTATATACAGTTTATCTTTACAGTGTTTACATAATACATATAGGTGACAGCTTTTTCCAGACTTTTGAAACTAGAAAGTCATAAATTATTGGAATTTTTTTTTTTAATGAAGATGTCTACAAGAATACACAAGACACACAGAACTTCTTGTATCTCCCAACGATGAAGCATGTGTAGAAGGTTTCACAATTTTTATGGGAGAACTTTTTTCACAGTTAGAGGTAGGAATTAAATTTTTATTTAGAAACATGTTGTTTTTAGAATGTTTTTTTCAAGTCTGAATTATTTGTTTGTGATTTAAAAAAACAACTTTGAAAAACATTCTGAAATAGATCTATACTAAAAACATAGTTTATTACATGCTCTGTTATGTTTTTTATTCCATAAGTTATTTAATATACTTTTGTATTATTTAAATTTCTGAACAATGTATATAGTAAAAAGATAGTTTTATTTTATTTTTGAGAGAAAGAAGTACAGGGGGTCTCCATTATATGGCATGATACCTTCCTGGAAAGTGGGACGTATGTCTGAAACAACATTAAGCAACACAATCTTTTCATGTATTATGGGGGCACAGATGCATTCCTGTAAAATTTCAGTTCACTCTTGAATAACGGCAACATTGCTTCACACACATGTTGTTGTACATTAGTGTACAGTAGTTGGTGAACATTGCACCTAGTAAAGTAGTCTGACAATGCTTTAATTAACATTCTAATAATGAAACAAGGTGACATTGTTTCAAAAATATTGGTTGTAACTGGTATACATTACATCTGGAAAGTAATTGAGGACATTGGAATGCTGAAGTAATGAAACAAGATAAAATTGTTTGATACATGGGTAGTAATTGGTAAACACTAATATTGAAAGGACTCAGATTAGTGCAGCATATAATGGGGACCCAGTATATATGAGGTATAATTTACAATTGTTAAAATGTGTCATAAAATAACTAAGAGTAACATTGTAAATAGCATATGAAGAATGAATATGTGGTAAGTATTAATGATAAATTTATTTTCCACTTATCTTGCAGTTTTAAGAATCTTTGTATCAGGAAAACTATCATCAGTTCTAGTCTGAAACACAAAGCATTTAAATGAATAGTGTAATGTTATCAAAGAAAGAATCAGTATTAGTCTGTTCATTATGATTATAAATTTCCTTGAATACAAAATAAAACGTCAACTTTTGAGGCAAAAATTTAGTATTTTGATTTTAATATTCTTTACACTAGTCTTCATATTGATAAAATTAACAAATCTGCCATCAGCAGTCTCAAGATCTTTTAAGAATTCTGGTGAATTAATGCTTTGTGTTGATAAACACAGATGTTTTTATACAAATGTTCATAGAAAATTATCATTGCTTCACAGTAAACAAATTCTTGCAAGCTATCTATTTTTCTACTTGACAAAACACATATATTCAATTTGGCCAACATGTGTGGTAAGGTTTAGCCTGTAGGTTGCAGATTTCAATTTATTCAAACCATATCTGTCCCTGATTACAAAGCCTCGTACATCAATTGCACTTGTAGATATACACTGTACTGATGACATTTTTGTACTGAATTATCAAGGTGTTTATGATACAATTAAACATATTCATTAGAATTCACTATTTCATTACAAATAAATTTCTTTACCTGCATTCAGATTTAAGCATTGTTAATCAAACATTCAAGTTTAAAATATTCAATAAAGCAAACACTTTTAATTTTACATTTCAGAATGCAAATATACTAATTAAATGTTGCTTAAATGTTTAATACTCATAGTTTGTTAGAGACAATATAATTTGTTCAACATGAAATTTTGTGGACAGAGCTCATAAATTTGCTTTCATTAAAGAAAACAATAAAACGTGTACACCTACCTCTCGTAATAGGTAGGTCAAAGTGAGTATGTCACAATGTTTTATAGAGTTACATTCAAAATTTAATTAAACTACTTTAGTTTCAATATGTGCCTATAAACATGACATCAAAATGTCAAATTGACCAAATCCATACAGAGTTAAGGTATAGAAAATAACAAATAAAATATAATGTTTTACTGAGAAAAAACGTTTGATATTTAGGAAATGAAGTTTGAAAATTTTCAGAGGAAGAAAAATCACTTTGCATTTGGAGCAGTCAACTTTGACATCATACGTTCACAGACAAATCTTTAGTAAAAATACTTAATTACAAAATCTTATTTTCTGTTCACAAAAGACTTGTCATGTTTACTGAAAGCTTGCCAAATATCATGAAGAGACACAAAACATATTAAAAGTTATTGTATGGAAACTGATTACTACTTTGCAGGTACAAGGTTTAGTTGCATTGACCAACCCCATGTGGAAAGAATTAATTTCTTAACTAACTTTTAAGGTAATAGTGAATAATTTTAATATTGTGACTGCTATTAGTTTTGCATTCCATTAGTTTAACCTCTCACTAGAATTAATGAAAACTATATAAAAGCTGCTTATTTTGTTTCACATTACAACATTAGTTTAGGTACATTACTTTCTGTTAATTACTTTAATTATAATATTTATCATTCTTGTTACTTCTTTATTTAAATATTTTTTACTACTTTGTTATTTTTCTCATTGTATTATTACTTACATGTTTCTGTTAGCTTTTGTTTAGGGTTTAATTTTACTTGTTACTTCTAGCTATGCACTCTCTAAGCTGACTGTGTTTAGGGGATAGTTAAAGTCAGGTTAGTTGGGTTAGATACAGCTCATATTTTGTTTTGTAAATTATTTTTCTAATTGTTACAATTAACTTGTTATTGTAATTGGAGTATTAAATATTAGTGTTTTTATTATTTATTGCAAGATATTCTTCATTTAATTTCTTACTTTTATCACCATAAACATAAATTTTTTGCTGTACTGTCTGTACCATCCCACTACCCAACTCTGTAGTTAAATACAAACATGTTACTTTAAAGTTATACTTTTTTTTTTATTATTCCTGTATACTCCCAGTGGAGCATAGGGCTGCAACAACACCTCGCCAATGGAAGGTGTTGTTGCAGTTACTTGTAGCAGGTTGGTTTTTACGGGGTGGAGTTGCTTAGCCCCGTGCCCAACCCTCCTCCTTTCTCATCCTGGACTTGGGACCAGGCAAAGGCGGAGGTTGGCATGTTTGGTGTGATGGGGATTCGAATCCGCGACCCTCAGATTATGAGTCAAGCACTCTAACCATCTGGCCATGCTGGGCCAAAGTTATACTTAGGTCATCCTTAATTGCTGTGAGGTGCTAGGCAAAATACTAAATGTGAGACCCATCATAGTATTCTGCAATATAAAGTGTTATGGAAAATGTACAATCGAATGATTTAGTACATTTCTAATGGATCAACCAAATAACATAATATTATGGGACAACATGGGACCTATTGTTCCATTTTGGCTGCTCCATCTTCAAAACTAAATTAAAATGATTAAAAAAAATAATAGTAACAAAAAAAAATTTTAAACCCAGCTCTTTTCGTTCATATACTTATCAAGCTTTTTGTTAAACTCACTTAAATTTACTGCCTCTACAACATCTGAAGGCAACCCATTCCAAAGGCCAACCAGTCTGTTAGAAAAATAAAACTGTCTTAGCTGAAGATGACTTCTACCTTGCCAAAATTTATATTTGTGTCCCCTAGTCCTACTATTCTCATTTTTAAAGAATAATAAAAAAAGATGATACATCAACACTATCAATTCCCTTTACAATCTTAAACACCTCAATTGGATCCTTTCCAAACTCTTCTTTTTTCAAGAGAAAACAATTTGACAGATTTCAGCCTCTTGTTGTATGACAACCAGGCACCATTCTAGTAACCCTTCTCTGAACCCTTTCCAATAATTCAATTTCTTTTCTAAGGTAATGAACCCAAGACTGAACACAATATTCCAAATGTGGCCTAACTAGTGGCCTGTACAATGAAAGTATAACCTCTTTAGACTTGT